CTATCAGTAGCTATATCTGGTATGTTGACAGAGGTTTAAAAATGTTGCTTTAATGTAATTTTTACTGCTTGATACAAAACAAGAGATTTAGTTGTCTCTTTCAGTGGCACCAATTCATTATCAATACCTCTAATAAAAATGGCAGGCTGAGCCATATCTATAGCATCAGTACTTTCATCTGTCACCACAGCATAAAATTTGACAGCAGCTTTACTCTCCAAATTTCTTTTGATATTTTTTTCCTAATTCTTGCACTTACTGGGTTATAGTCTGGTGACCACTGTTTTTTAGAAAAATATTGTTTTTTAAATCAGGACAAATTATGCTTGCCATACTCTCCATATATTGCATAATAAACTCACCACTTTTGACTTTTCTTGCAATCAAAGTTGTTACCGCATAAGTAGATTTTATAATTAAACCCACTTGAGTAGTAACTTAAAAAAAAAAAAAACAAAACTTTCTTGAGATGAGACTTCTCACTTCCATTGTTTCGTCTTTATCGAACTTTCCTTGATATATGTTCAATCTGGCTCATGTTTTTGCATTTAATTTTCAAAATGAAATCTTTGAAAACCGATTTCCTTCCTTACAGATCAAGCATAGTGCTATATTGTCTCCACAAAAATTACTCATATGTTCATTTTTGTTGAAAGCTCTTCCTTCATTCACATTTTTTTTTTTTTTTTCTTTGAGATGACATCAAGTAGGCTGAAATATTGGCAATCACTGCAGTTTTACTCACCAAGTGGCACAGGCACCAGTAACATGTAAGACAAGTGGGTTTCAGTTTCACTGTGTGTGGTGGGCATGAGAAGTGGAGTTATTGCTGCACTTTGCCCTCTCCTTTTCCTGGGGAATAGCACACTTATATTGTGATTGTTGCTGAGTGATGGATTCAAGGACCACTTTGCTGTCACCTTCAAGCATTGCAGGAGACCTGGGCAGTGTCCTGATTTATAGGTAAAGTAAACCTTTCGGTGTGCTAAGTTCCACTATCATTTTACATTGTAATTGCTCATAACGCAGATTGTCACACAAATGAAGATATTTATTTGATTAAAAATCTTTTCTAGAAGGTCTATGAAGAGATGGAAGAACAAATGCAATTTAGGATGGAGAAGTTGTGCTATCATGCATCTTCTCAGACGCTATCTACATGCGTCACACCAGCAATTGTAGGCACCAGGGGATTTAATTAGCAAGCCTTTTAGAAGTCCTCCTGCAGATGGAAGTAGATTTAAAATTTGTCTACAAAATTTATGTTTTTCTTAGTAAGGAGATAGTCTTGCCAGTTGTCTTACCTTAAACTGTCTGTCTTTTTAACTGGGGATGCTGGTACCCCTTGATTATGTTAAATGCCATCTTTTGTCTCTGAAAAAAAAACAATTATCGCTGTAGTTAACTCAGTATGAACTTGAATCTTTCAGTAGCAGGGTCTCTACTGATGAACTTTGCAAACATACAAACCAAGATGTTCTGAACATGTCTGATACATAATAATAAATGGTTATGCAGTTAAACAGTTCCTCATAGATTTTTAGTTGTTCTTCAGGTCAAGCACAATCATATTCAGGAAGTCTTGAGTGTATGGCATGTTTTTACCCTTAAGATCTTAGCAATAGCTATCACTGAAACATGTGGACCTCATTATGATTATTTACCTTGTAGTTCCAATTAAAAAATTACTTAGCCTTTTTACTCTTACTCTAGCTTATGCACTCCTAACACAGAAGAACAGTGAGTAATATACAGCATTCAGAATCAATATTAACTTTTCTGTTAGATTTGAATTAGATTGTATGTGTAGGTAATAATAAACTTTGAGCATTTGAATGGTCATAAGGTTTTAACTGCATGATTCAGAATAAAGTTACAACTATTTTGGAACATATGATCTTTTGTAAGGGCCTTCTTCTATAGAAAAGATGGTTATTGAGGACATGGAATTAATTCCTTTGGTGGTTCAGTTATAAGCAGAGTGCCTAGAATAAATGAGCTTGCATTTAGAGCAGTGAATTTTGTCCACTTCTTATAACGCTTGATTGATTTTATTATATTTATCAAATTAGCGGAAATTGATTAGTTGTCTTCTGTTTCAGAGAACTACCAGAAAATATTTGCATTATTAGCATGAGGGGGGAAAAATCTTATTGGTCTGTCAGGAAGTATGAATGACTTTGTAATCATAGTAGAGAAAGGGAGAAAATTTTTTTTCGTATTAATCTTGGTTTAAATATATTTACAGGTAGCAAACCTGCTGAATGATTAAACTACCTTATTAGCACAGTTTACTTAAGGATAAATTACTCCAGTCACTGCAAGTACTCAAATTTTAAAAAGAAACAATTTACACTTCTGTAATTTTTAAGTAAGTAGAATAGTGGTAGATAAAGGCAGATACTGGAAGATTTCACATACATAGGCTGTAAGGAATGAATCTGAGCTCTGTCGTGTTTATCTGGAAAACAGTTCCTTAGTACTTCCAAGGAAGGTAAAAAGTGAGCAAAAAAGCCAACCTTGTAAGCAGAACCTTTTCTGCCATGTTCTGCAGGCTGGTCTCTAAGCCAGGACAGATAGAATTAGAGAATGAGACTGCTTCATGCTTCTTGTAGATCAGTAGTGATGTATTTGGGTTTACTTGAAATGGAATGAACTTATTCCTGTTTTTTGTCAGCTTAATCATCAATGAAAATATTCAGCATTTACTCACTGCCATTCATGTACAACTCACGTGGCATACCCTGGGTTTAACTTAAACTGATCTCATTGTGTACTTATAAAGTGAAAACTATTATTCCTAATCTCTTCTCAAAGTGTAAATGAAAGAGATAAGGATCCCTTGGAAGAGTGTAATGATACTGGTTATTTAGACCACGCATCCAGGTTTCAACAGTTAATTTTCAATTATCCCCACTGGTGGCACTAATTGTATAGTGAGTGTGAGACCATGTGCAGTGCTATTAATGATACAGCTGCATGAGCACAGTGAGGGTACTCAAATAATGCATTTCCTGAAGAAAAAAAATTGAAATAGCGACCAGTAATAATTTGTAACTTTTGCAAGCGCTTAGTGATTAAAATCTAAACAGCTAATGATGAAGAAAATCCTAAAATGAAAAAATAATGCTGTGCTGTTTCTATAGGAGAACAAAAAACACAATGAACTGAAGGTTAACTTGAAACATTTTTGCCTGTTTTATAATTCTTTTGAACTGTTTGGATTACATACCTTCGAAATGCAGCCTGACACACCTGAAATGTAACCAGTTAGATTTAGTCTTTTCTCCCACTGGAATCATGAAGTACAGAATATTGTTTCTTGAGACAAAAGACTGTCCATATTAAGAGGTGCAATTTAATGAAGAAGTTCAGAGTCACAAAATTGCTCAGGTTGGAAAAGACCTTAAAGATCATCAAGTCTCCAACCTCAGAATTTGAGAATGAATGATGCTTATGACATACAGAGAATTCATTTCTAATATCTCGTGAATGGTTGACTGTAGACTTGATACTTCTTGCTTATACATATGCTTTATGGTACTCATAGTGGCAGTTTTTTGCTTTTCTGTCTTTTTCTTGCTGTGGCAGCTATACTGTGAGCTTTGACGCTTGAGGAAAAATAAATGACCAGATACAATGGAATGATTTTTAACGGTATACTGGGAGCAATGGAACATCTGGGCTAAAAGTGTTTGGACTGCTGTTGCTGAATTATTTAAATCTAATTGAGAAATACAAGTCTTACAGCCACCTTCTTATAGTAGGAAACTGAATTTGATACTTTTGGAAATGATTTTCAAATTAAAATGCTTAACAACTTAATTTGGTATTGGGATCATTCAGTTTAGGTTAACTAATTTTGCAGCAGCTGGTGATGGGGTGGGGATCTGATGTCCCTGCATACAGGTTTCCAAACTATGGGGCCACCTGAGAGCATCTGATGAAGGCCTTCATCCATCTTTGCAGATAAAAAGAGATCAAGAGAAACAAAGTAGCCTGTAGTTGTCTAACAGAGAAAAAAAGACTGCAGGTTGCCCAGAGCATTACTCTGCTTGTGCTAAACTGGAGGTTTCTGGGAGCTTGGAGCAATTTGTGATGCTGGGACCTCTAGCTTAGTCATGGGATTAGTGAATAATGAAGACATGAAAAATAGCACAGTGAGTAAAATTTTGTCTACAGCATGTAATAGAAATAGGTATCTATTTCAGATATCCTCTAGAGAATGCTGCAGCAGAAAAACCTGGAGAACGTAATTTTTCTGTCCTTACTGGAAGAGAACATTTTCAATAGGAAGAGGAAAATCTTGTGGTTGTCTGAAACAGTCTGACTGTGGAACAAGAAACCATTTCCATTATTGAAATAGACCTTATCCTGATGTACAGGTTTGAAGACAGAAGCATAAGAACCAAGAAGTGTTAGGTCTGAATGGCTGCTAGTGTTCTATGCATTTGTTTTTAGATGGTTAATTGTACTCTGAATGCATAGTCATGTAGAAATCACCTGGTCAGATTACTTAGAAACTCTATGGACTGAATTCACTTCGAAAATAATTTTTGATTTAGATCATTGTTAGTGTATCTTTTCCTAAATATTTCACGTTTATGTCCTAAGTTGTTTTCTTTTCAGCCAACTTCAGGAGATCAACAGTTTTGTTGCTGGATTTCATATTTGATTTGTTTATTGCATGTGTAGATCAATAAGGTGAATATCAATAATAATGAATATTTTCCTCTGATTTTATTGATCTTTCCAGATATCTAAAGTTGGTATGTGAAAGCGGGTAAAGAGTTTGACTTAGATAAGAAGTATTACAGAGCTTTTGTTCTATACTTAATTCACTCCACTGACTTACATTTTGACTTCTTATGCTCATGAGTGGCCATTTATTGACCATTTATTGGTTGATATTCATTAATTTGGAAAGTAGGATTTAGATTTTTATATCCAAAGATTGTATAGCATTAGTGAGTAAATGCACATTTTTTTTTCTCTTATAGCATGCAAACGTATTTAACAGCGTGACTGAGTTGCAGAAAGAGATGAGCAAGAGGAAGATTTCAGGGTAAGTTATATTCCTTGTATGTCTGTTGACTGATTCAGCCAAATGTTGCTCTATGTGCACTGTGCAAGGTATCCTCTCTGAGCTATGGAAGGTTTCTTTCTGTTCCTCTGTCTACTGAGGACACAGTGTCTGGGATTTTGCCTGCTCCTTGACTTTCATTAGAAGGGTCTAAGACTTTCTGGACTGCTGCTTGTAGCTAAAATTTAAGCACCTTAAAAAAAAAAAAAAAAAAATGTAGTTGATTACTCAGATCTCTCATACAAGATAAAAGCAGGGAAAATGTAGTTGCAGTCCTAAATGCGTGCTTATGACATAATGCTTTACAGAACTTGAAGTCTGGAAAACAAGTCACACTTCAAATTATTTTGTTTGTATGAGGAAATGTGCTGCAGTTTCAGATCTGGAATGTAATTTATTAATTTCCACCTCCCCTGCACCATTTACAGTGTAGTCATAATTCTAATGCTAAATTGTATTTAGGGTGGAATTACTGTCAATATCATTAATTTCTTCATATAACTAACATGATTTGGACTAATTTTAATGTAAATAGCAGGCCTAAGTCTAAGTTCTTGCCAATAAGCTTCAGTTATGTATTGCTGGAATGGTTACTGCCAGTGGAAATGTCTGAGACAGTGCAGTTAACATCAGAAGAGGGGCTGTGTGAAGCAATAAAAATTAGCATAAAAAAATTGAAATGTATGAGACTGCAATTACTGTAACATCATAACATGGAGACATTGCAGTTGACATTGTAATGGCTTACATGTCAAAGGAATAAGTCAGTGAAACAACTTGAATAAATGAATAAAGCACTTTAATGGCACGTTATTGGTTGACCCAAGAATTATAATATTTTAGTGGTACTGCATCTACAGTCAGCTATTAAAAATGCTATAAGGTATGTCTGCTGTGTTAGTTTCTGTTTCTGTGTTTAGTGATTGGGATGTTGTCAGCTATTTTTGTTCAATTCATTATAAAGGGGAAAACATTTTAAGGATAAACACTTTTTTCTTACTCATGTTTTTTTTCTTTATTCTGAAATGTTTTGATCAACTGAAACTAAAAGTATTAAAAAAGAAAAGATTTAATTAGAAGAATTTCACCTACTAATATAGACCTGAAAATGAATCAAATACAAAAAAGACAAAACATACAGAAAAACAACCTAATGCAACCTACTCTGCTACTTGCTCCACTTCTGTATCACAGTGAGAATGCAGGAAAATGATTCTGGGTTATAGATGGAAAACTCTTGTGATACACCATTACATACAATATTTTTTCAATTGTTCATGCCACAACAGTTTCAGAAAGGGTTGCTTTACCTAACTTGCATGGGGTTGCTGTGTGTGTGTGTGTGGGGGGGGGGGGGGGGGGGGGGGAAGTTAATTAAAAAAACTGTTTGAAGAGTTGCATGTAAGTTTATTGAAAAAGAAGGGCTGCGGTTACATTCCATCAGTATGGTGCTATAGCTTCTATCACAGAAGATCATATTTCACTTTGTTAAATTAGTATGATTGCTATGAGATTTCTACTATACAAGTTAAGGGAAATCTCCATCAGCTGACATTGTTTTTCAGTGGGAGTTGTTACAAGGTAAAAGCTCAGGAATATCTGAAAGATGATAAGGCAGATAGAAACAGCTACTTGTAGATTGGTCACGTTGCACCTATTCTAAACAAAAGAATAAGAAACCTCATGAGGAATTCAATTTATAAGAACTGAAGGGTAGCAATATGATATCAAGAAGTCATTGAAAAAATGACACATTTGCTTAATAAAGTTACATGCATGAGATAATAAAATCAGATAAGATATTGTAGTATCACATAGCATTTTGCTAATAACATTTTAGAAACCAATATAATTGCATCTGATGTTAAATGATGAAGAATTAGCTATTTTACAGCTTTCATAAAGTTAGTGTCAATGACAAAATATCACTGAGCTCCAAAGAAAGTCAGATACCATGACTTTTTTTACTTGTATCTTCTATCACTCATCAAAAAAATGCATGTAAATAACCTCTAACTTAAAAGTTTTAAGACTGTAGGTTGTATGTGTAGAGCAACAGACAATCTCTCTAAAAGACCTCTGAAAGAGAACAGAATAGAGCAATCATGGTGTAACAAGGCTCCAGAGTAAGCAGCTCAATCTGATCTTTTTGGTGGCAACCCTACCCATGGCAGGGGGTTGGAACTAGATAATCTTGAAGGTCCCCTTCAAGCTAAGTCATTCTGTAATTAATTCAGTTAACTGCAAAATTAGTAAATGATAGATGTGTTGCTTACAACGTAAAAGAAGAATAAAGCAGGTGATAGAGAGCTCTTTGGTTATGACTGACAAATCAGTATTTATTAGTTTGAGTAGCTTGTTTCAGCTGGAAAAACTCAACCTTTTAAACTGTGTAATTTTTGAAAACAGGCAGTAGTTAACATGCAAAATCAGAGAAGGAGGGAGGGAATAAAGGAAGACAAAAATAACAGGAGGAAGGAGGGAGCGAAGAATAAAAACTAACAGATCAGAAGAGATTTGCCTTTGAGGCTTTCTAGACAGGGCTTGGATTCTTTTCTGAAATATTTATTGTATTTGAAAGGAAAGTTATTTTCTGAAATTATGTTTACTTGCAATATGCCAAGGTGCTGTGATCTATATGTGACTAGGCTACAAATAATCTGGTGATGCTGTCAGCTCTGAAACTGTAGAAGTTCTGGTGGTAGTTGTGTCCTCTCACTCAACTGCTGTCTAAATTCAGGTGCACATATGGACTGCTTGATCTATCTGCCAAAGAGAGAAAACACTAGCAGTAGGTTCAGTAGGTGCAAACTCTTTCCCCTGTTGAGATTGTTGTTACATTTTTTCAGAACTTCACTAATTTGGAATATGCTGATTCTTTACTTTGATCAGTTCTTTGTCAATACCTGTGCAACCTTCTGTGGCTGAACTGGATCAGCATATAGACTACTGGTTTCTGTCTTGCCTCTTGTCTTTCCTAAAAGACCGTGACCCCGAGTCTGCCCATTGCCAGATAAAGTTCTGTAGGGCTGTTGTACACTGCAACAGTTTTTCTGCTTGTAGAGATGATCACTGAGGTTGCAAAAGCTGGAGAAATGGACTTGATCCTCAAATCCTGGGCAAGTGGAGCAACACTGCTGTCAGTCTGTTGCATTTCCTGTACAGAATGGTTGCTTAGTTTAGGAAGAAAATGCAAAAATTGCAGGCTGTTACTGATCTATGAAATTGTTCTTTAAGAATGTATTAGAATTTCATTTGAAGGAAATACGCTTCTGTCAGAAAGCTGAATGCTTGCTGATCAAGATATGAATTTTCTGTAAAATAAAATGAGAAATTTGTGTTCCTTAATTCTAATGTCCCAGATTCTTGTGTGTATGTTTATGTAGCTGCTGGAGAAATCCACAGGAGCTTGGTCTAGTTTGTGAGGTTTGGTGGCCCTGCCTGTGGCAGAGAGGGTTGGAGATTAATGATCCTTGAGGTCTCTTCAAACCTGGGCTGTTCTGTGATTTAGGTGTTTAAGTGACTCTAACAAGTGTACTCATAAAGATCTTCACTAAAACACTTTAAATAGGGGGTGGCTTTTCTATTGAGTCTGGTGCAAATTGAATTAGAACCCAACAGTGAAAGCCTACCTTAAATATTAATGGAAAAAAAAACAAACACTGAATTTAAATGTTTGAAATGGCAGACTGTCTTTTTTTTCTTTATTTGTGGTTACCTGAAGCCTTCTTCTAGCAATGTGTAATTAAAGTTTTTATAACATTGAAAACACCTGATGCAAACTGATCCAACTTATTTGTTACATGTTTACTTCTCCAGTCTAAAGGCTATAAAACTCCAAAGCAGGAAATTTTGCCCAGACCTTAAGCAATTGTTTTGGCATCTGGTGAATTAGAAAGGGCAACTGTTTTTATTATTGTTATGCAGATGGAGACAGTGGGCAAATGAGGGGAAATCAGGAGGGGCTGAGACATACTACGTGTTTAGCCATGTGTCTCTGTGGGTATTCAACTGGAATTGTGTATTTCAGATACTTTCAACAGTCTTTCTTCTCTTTATCTCATCTGGACCTTACCTAATTCAGACGAAAGCAAACAGGATGCCTTGATGACTGCTTCCTTAGTTTCATGCTGTGGTGCTTTGATACCATTCAGCACAACATTGGATAAGGTGCATGAAGACAGCTGTGTCAGAGAGGGCATCAGCAGGGCAGGATCTGGAGTCTTAAGCTTCCTGATAACTCCAGACTTCTGTCTATGTCTCAAACTAAAATTTGTTACAAGTGTCTTATAAACTCTCAATTAGTATTAAATTCCAGATTTCTCAGCACAGCATGCAGGGTATAATATACATACAGGGAATAAAGTTTTGCTTTTGAAAAATAAATAGTAGTTATTGAATGAAAACTAACATTTACCTGAACTACACAGTCTGAGTGGATCAATGTCGTTTCAATTTTCTATTTTAAATCTCCTTGCTCATCTACATTCTGTATTTGCTTTGTAGTTGAGATTCTTTGCGATTCTAAGCTTTTAGTGGCTTGCCTCAAAGTGTGCATGTAACTTAACCATTACAGTTTTGACACGGGAATGTTTTAATACCTGAATGTTAAACAGATGGATTTAAAAAAAAAAAAACCAAACCTCTATGCTATAGGGTTAATCAGAGCAAACGGAGAAAAATCAGACTCCTACCTCAGAGGAAACTTATTGTTCACACTTGTAGTGAACAAAGGCACAAAAAATGCACCAGCTTAAGATTTTTATATTTACAGCCAGGAAATGGTCTGTAAATAATTACACCACCTTAGTTACCATGTGTTGTTCATTATCTCTTACTGAGTTTGTGTCATAATGTCTGAGTTAAATAATGTGGAGATGAATGCTCAGTGCCTACAAGTTCTTTACCAGTGTTCTATTTTTGAATTGTATGACATACTGATCAAAGCCAAGTAGCTGAGACTGAATTAAGTCATATCATTT